GCGGAGCTCAGCTTTAACCAGGGCGAACCAACAGTTCCTGTATGGACTGAAGCTGAGGTCCCACTTCAGGAATATGGGAAGAGCTGAGGTTGCTCCCACATATTTGCCTGCTTATGGGTATCTCCAGCATCCTCTACAGTGAAGCATAACCCAGGGTCCATCCCGGTCTTTAAACCAAAGCCCGCTGTGCCCTGGCTCTGGCTGCCTGGGGAGAGCTGCAGGCAGGGGATGCAACGTCTGCTCTGGGACAAAGCTGTGGTTAGAGCAGCAAACAGTGCTGTGAGCTGCCGTCGCAGGATGGGATGCTGGGCTCGGACCAGCTGGCTCGGAGCAGGGGTAGGAGGAGCGAGCCCAGGGAGGGCTCATAATGCCCTACGGGACCTGCGAGCCTCTGACGCCTGTCCTGAGACATGGGGGTTCTTGTCTTGCACAAGGTGAAGGAGAATAATCTAATAAGTGCTTTATCATGCTAGACATTTAACAACATTCTGAATTTTGAGTATTGCAGTAAATTATAAAATCAATTACTGAAGAAAAAATATTAATAGTAATTATTTAAATATATTAATAATTATACAATTATTATGACAGAATTGTTATAAATATTTATATAAATATGATAAATATATGAATGCAGTATATTTATAAGTTCATCATCATATGCAATAAATATTCATTACTGATACACAAAATAACTATATTTTAAATATAATGCAATTTATGGTTTGTAACATGTTGCTAAAATGTTAGTAACTCCTCCCATGAAACAGTATAGTGAGGGGAGAAGGAAAGACTAATAACTCCCTGCAGTGCTATGCATAAGAATTATTTGCATTTATTTATTGGTGTTAGCAAAGGTAGTTGTCTCTGCTTTGAGATGGAATGAAAATAATACTCTGTATTTAGAAATGAAAGAAAGAAAGAATTTTCCCTAGCCATCCAAAGAGGTTGATGCCTCTAGAGGGATGTGAATGTTGTTTGCAGGTATTTCTGTTCTCCACAGTCTCCTATTCTTGTTAAGCTTCTTATAAACTTGCAAGCAATGTAACACAGTTGACATATCTTGGTCAAATTATTTTTATGTGATTTTTAGAAGAAATGGGAAAGGTAAAAACAAATAAAAAAATCAGTTGCCAAAATGTCGTGTCCATTTTCCCAAGCCTTCTCCCCATGATCCACAGGGAAGTATCATGGTGCCAGGAGCACTATCCTTTCCTCTGCGGTTGCGTTAAAAGTTGCACTGTAAGGTTCAACTGAGACATTAATTAAAAACAAAACAAAACAAAAAGCTAAAAATCTCTGAAATGCCATGGCAATTATGTACCTAAAGTGAACTTTAATAAGAGTGCTCAATCTGTGTTGGTAATTGTGGCTGCTGTTCATTTACAAATGCTGTGTACCTGCCGATGTGCACAGCAGCTGCTGCACAGTCACTGATAGTTCTCCTCTAACACCCCAACGGTTGTATGGCCAGGGTGGTTTTTTTTCTCCTAGCATTTCGGCGGCTGGAAATGCACATGCGTGTTCCTGGAACTTTGAGATGATATGTACAATCTCCTAACAGACTGATGGAACAACTCAAAAATGAAAAGATATTAACTGGTGGTGACACTTACCAGAAGGACCATCCATAGTCCCATGAATGCGGTCGCCAGTCCTCTGGCCCAAGGCTGACTGTCACTTGGAAAACTTGAGTATACATCATGTGTGCCACCATCCCCAAGAGACCTGAGAAGCAGGGATCATAATAGGAATTTTTGTGCTGATGTTTTTTTATAAATCTTGAGATAGCTACTGCTGGAAGTGCTTTGAAAGCTCCAGAAAACTCTTTGTTGTACTTTTATGCCTCCTATTCTACTGTGGAGGAGGGAGCTGCATGGGCAGAGGAAAGATGACTGAGAGCTCATTATTTTACATCATACTGAATTCTCAATTAAGAGAAGAGTTAAAGAAAGAAAATCGTTGAAGAAAATGTTGCACAATTAGCATCACCACCAACCTTGCTGCTGCAAAACAGGGGTATGCCACCCACAAGTTATCTCACTTAGCCCATCGCAGACAGGCCTCAGGTAAGAGAAGAAGGAGAGAGGCTTCTGTAGGCAATGCAAGATTGAATGTGTTAACGCCAAACAACGATATTTTATTGAACAGTTGCTAAGATTTATAAATTTGAACACTTATAAAACACTTGGAAGTTACACAAGCAAGTTAAGTGAACTCAGTATTCCTGATGAAGTGTGGTGAGACGACACCATAGGAATATTTTTGAAGGTACAATGTTGATGATGCTTGCTTTTGTGACACCATTATATTTTGCTGAGGTAACTACAACTGGGTGAAGATTAGACAAAGTATTAGACACTCGACTCTGTGATGCTAAAGAACAGGGTTGCAGTTAGATCACTGAGTTTGCTCTGCCACGTCGCTGGCCAGCCCATATTTTTACATTTAGACATCTCTCTGAGGAAAATCAAAACCTACTTTTCAAGAAGTCGTGGCCAGTAGCAGCTCTGATGCTTGGAGAATTTTCCAGCTACAATAATTTGGGATGCGTCTGCTTTAGTACTTAGGCAGTGCAGAATGATTCTCCCAGCTGAGCTAACGAAAAGCATGGGTTCAGGCAGTTAGGGAAACTGTGGGGCAGGACCATCGTTGTCCAAATACACCTTGGGCCTACAGATGTCAAAAGCCCCTTGTGCTGCAACGACAGTTCAAGGCACTTTGAAATACTGATGTTCTGCCATGGTGGGGTACAATGCGGTCCCATACGTTACCCTTTGCTCCTTAACCAAAGTCACCATTTACTCTCATCTCTGACCATCTACTTTTTTCCACAGTTGCCCTTCCTCCATGTGGAATATCCTGATTTTCCCTCCCCAGACCCAACTTCTGGCTCTTCTTTCCTGCTTACTTTCAGAGCCTAAAGCACTTCATTAGTCTCACCAGACATGTGGATGATTCAGGGCAATTCTGGGGGAGGGAAGTAGGGGAATGTCATATTTGTGTTGTGGGTATGTTAAGCAGGACCTTCAGCAAGACAAATGTCATATTTGATACAAACAACTGCAGAGGCTGAAAGAAGATATTTTATTACAAGAAGCTGCAGTGATTTGCTCAGCTGCTTCATGTTGGTGTGACACACTGGAAAGTTAGGAGGTGGAAAGAGCAATTCGCATCGGAAGAAATGATATTTCAGCAGGGTGGGCGGCCTAATGGGAGCACAGCAAACTGGTACACACCTTGCTTGTTTCTGGCTATATTTAATTTCCAGAATTCACTGGGAGCTTGCTGTACTTTTTAAATCAATGGATTTCTCTCCAGCTGACAGTTACAGCATTGATCTTAAAGTTTGAGGTTTGCTGTTCCTATACCTACTGTCAGTAATTTTTCAACCTTAATAAAATATTACAGGCTGCCTTGAGACATGTCATAGTCACTCAGAGCCATCAGGAGATTTGACACGGCCGGGACTAGCTTCAGCAAGGCTAATCTGCTCTGTTCTGTCATGCAAAACCTTAATGGGGTTTCAGCACTGTTCAGACCTTTCGCTGTGTGGGAGGCCAGGATGACAGTCCACTGACACAGGTGAGTAGGAGGTCATCAGCAAGTCCTGCTGTAACGCAGGGACCACAGTGAAAACGTGGCTTTTATTGCTGTATCTCCCTAATGGCGGGGAGGGTCGGGGGCGGACATGTGCCTGGCTGGGCCGTCAGTGGCATTGTGCCATGTATAAGCTATAGCAAAACAAAACGAGTCTTTCTTTCATTGTGCTGCTTCATGCACTTTTGCTTTGGTTTGTTCGTGATGCCACCCATCAGTTTGGGCTATTTTAGATATGCCTTGCCAAGTTCTCCATGGGGATATCCTACGGCACTTTTTGTCGTACATTTAATGGTCACATTTGGGATAAAATGACCTGCCTGTAACATAAATGCTGTATTTACAAGATCATCTTTCCCTCCAACTGGCTGCTTAAGGCTGGACAAAGAGGACAAAATGCCTGCGCGCCCACCCACGTGGGGTCCAGGGCAACAGATGCTTGCAGGTGGAAACCCCTGACAATATAGTGGACTGGAGTGACTGGAGTGGATGGGAGTGCAGAAACACTGACCATTTATAGTTGGCTTGAGATCATTAGCCTTGCAGGACCAGAGCTGTTTCTAGATGTCAGTAATGGCAGAGCTTAAGGAACTAAATTTGGAAAAGACAATATATTTTAAAGCGTTTTCAGATACCTTTACTAAAAATATTATTTATGGACTATATCACATTAATTAAAATGCTTTATTATAAATATTACATGAGAGATGTTTGTAAATTTTTTAATTTGTGTAAGGTTAAGAGGGATACCAAAATCACGATGTTGTGGGGTTTTTTTAATGACTCATAAGAGCTCAAGAAACAGCAACAAGTGGCCACACTGTTAGGATAATTTTTCCTGACCTTTAGATGTTGAGCTGTGAGAATATGAAGATTCCATTGCACTTTTAGGAGAGACCTTTAGCATGAATTTAATGAGGTGTGTTGCTCCAAGTCTAGGTCCTTTTTGTTACCTAATTTCTATTAAGCTGTGTCATTATAAATATGCTAAGCTTAACTAAATATGCTTTTCTTCTTTCCTCTGATATCTCTGTCACTGAAAATAACAGCTAGCAGTGTTTTGGGTTTTGGGGTTTTTTTGCTTCTTCCTATTTTGCTATCCTTTTTCCCCGTAAAATTTTAAAGTTTATACTTGGAACGTCATGGCAATGTGCTTATAAAGAGGGAAGGATAAAAAAAAAATAGATGTGTAGGAAAGAAAACTTCGTAATTGTTACAAAACTTTAAAACTGCAGTTAACGGTGAAGAGCGAGAGAAACAGCATGGGACTAGTTGTTTGAATGCTGAAGAATTCCACATAGTTTGATTTTGAAAATTGAACTGTCTTTTTTAAAAATTCAAATTATATCCAAAGCTGAAAAACATGCTTTGGCAGTTTTTACCAGATTTTTTTTGTCCTCTTAGCTCTACTTCTGATCTAAGTTTTATACCACTAACTGTATTTCACAATTTGAAGCTATCCCTGAAGATACAAACTCCTTCACAGAAATGTACACTGCCTGTTATAATCTCTTTCAGCTTGAAATACAGCAGAATAAAACGCACTTTTATTGCAGAAGTCCTTTCTGCCAGAGAGGTCCATGCAGGAGCGCTCACAAAAGCCAGCTGTGGCTGGTTGTTTGTACAAATCCTGGGAAGTGGAGTTTTCAGCCAGCACAGAAGTGAAGGAGCACTTAATTACATGGTTGATAACTTCTTTTAGGGAAGTGAATTCCTCAAGTTCATTTGCTGAAGGGCTCCAAGTACAGACCGAATATGAAAATAGCCTGAAACAGTTATTCTGAGAGATGTACATGTCCCCGAATTACTCATGGGCTTGCTCCTAAGCGCGATTACTAGAACCCTTTTCATTCTCAATTTTGCTAATGAACAAGATGGGCTTCTTTCTTCAGTTTGAAGCATCAGGCTTTCATCTACTCTTACAATTAACATGGAAAAAAGAATTTTCAACACCATATGTTTTTCATTTTCTATTGGATTATCAGTGTGATGATGCTGAAAATGGAGGCTCAGGCTATGGCTATGGTAGTGGCTGTGTGGGCTGGGGGGGTGGTAATTGCTGCATTGGTGTTGTGAATTCAGGCCTATGTATTTTCACTTCTCCCTGGCAAGAGGCAAATTTATCATGTGATCCTTGTTCCAAAGGTACAAAAATTGTAGGAAAAAATGTGGTAGCATAATGGGGATAAAAGAGCCTTTTGCTTCTTCCTATTTTGCTATCCTTTTTCCCTGTAAAATTTTAAAGTTTATACTTGGAACGTCATGGCAATGTGCTTATAAAGAGGGAAGGATAAAAAAAAAATAGATGTGTAGGAAAGAAAACTTCATAATTGTTACAAAACTTTAAAACTGCAGTTAATGGTGAAGAGCGAGAGAAACAGCATGGGACTAGTTGTTTGAATGCTGAAGAATTCCACATAGTTTGATTTTGAAAATTGAACTGTCTTTTTTAAAAATTCAAATTATATCCAAAGCTGAAAAACATGCTTTGGCAGTTTTTACCAGATTTTTTTTGTCCTCTTAGCTCTACTTCTGATCTAAGTTTTATACCACTAACTGTATTTCACAATTTGAAGCTATCCCTGAAGATACAAACTCCTTCACAGAAATGTACACTGCCTGTTATAATCTCTTTCAGCTTGAAATACAGCAGAATAAAACGCACTTTTATTGCAGAAGTCCTTTCTGCCAGAGAGGTCCATGCAGGAGCGCTCACAAAAGCCAGCTGTGGCTGGTTGTTTGTACAAATCCTGGGAAGTGGAGTTTTCAGCCAGCACAGAAGTGAAGGAGCACTTAATTACATGGTTGATAACTTCTTTTAGGGAAGTGAATTCCTCAAGTTCATTTGCTGAAGGGCTCCAAGTACAGACCGAATATGAAAATAGCCTGAAACAGTTATTCTGAGAGATGTACATGTCCCCGAATTACTCATGGGCTTGCTCCTAAGCGCGATTACTAGAACCCTTTTCATTCTCAATTTTGCTAATGAACAAGATGGGCTTCTTTCTTCAGTTTGAAGCATCAGGCTTTCATCTACTCTTACAATTAACATGGAAAAAAGAATTTTCAACACCATATGTTTTTCATTTTCTATTGGATTATCAGTGTGATGATGCTGAAAATGGAGGCTCAGGCTATGGCTATGGTAGTGGCTGTGTGGGCTGGGGGGGTGGTAATTGCTGCATTGGTGTTGTGAATTCAGGCCTATGTATTTTCACTTCTCCCTGGCAAGAGGCAAATTTATCATGTGATCCTTGTTCCAAAGGTACAAAAATTGTAGGAAAAAATGTGGTAGCATAATGGGGATAAAAGAGCCTTGTAGCCCTCAGTTTTTATGCTTTCAAAGTTTTAGAATTTTGTTTTGTTGTGGCTCCTCAGGCAAAAGGGGAAGGGAAGGTTCATACCTGAAAGCACAGTGAAGACAGCAGCAAAGGCATTTAGCTTGAGCCCATCTATCACACTGCTTGAATGAAAGAGCTCGAGGCACATAAGGCTGAATCCGACGACTAACAGCATGATGTATAACACCTCGGATACTACTGATAACCACAGGACACCTGCAATGCACAAGAACAGCAACCAGTCACTTATTTGGTAAATACTTTCAAGAGGTTGAAGTTGGTAAAAAATAATTAGGAAATCAGGAATATCTAGGAGTAATTGTGCATTCAGAAAGTTTAAATTTAGCAAACCACTACCCAAACTGAAAAATAGAAAAAGCGGTGAATGAAGATGTAAAGATCAGCAGGGTAGTAAAGATACTGCAGAAAGAACAAGCTGTTTCCTAAGATCTCAGCTTGGCTAAAGAATCTCTTTGGGTATATCTAGAACATCTTGGCTCCTCTGACCCAAACCATAGGACAGAGAATTCATTTTTCCTCCCTGTGTCATGGTTTAGATGAGCAGAATCTAGCACACGTGGTGGTGATGGCACATAATACCTTACAGTATATGGGCTGGTGGGAGATGAACAGGCTTGGATACCTCTTTTTCACAAGGCTGTTCAAAGAAAATGTTTTCAGTCCAGGTTTTAAAATGCTTATCATAGAATAGCGATGGGCCTGTTATTACAAACTGGTGTCTTGCAGAATGACTGTTCTGATTTGGGGTGTTTGGATCCACTGCACAGATCTCTGCTGCTGGGACTAATATGAAAACTGCCAGAATACCGGTGGGGCGGAGCCAGTTATTTATAACATACTCAGTTGAAGAGCTGCAGATACAAAATTTGGTCTGCTTTCTGTTTTCTCAACCCCTAAGTACAATCCCTCAGGTGAAGGGCAGAGTTGATGTGCCCTGTTTGACCCGCACGTTCTGCAGGACTTCGGGGTTGTGCGCAGGTAAGTGGGTCGGGCAGCATTTGGTAGTGACCGACCAAGACTGATTCAGCCGCTGTAGATGTTACAGTTGGAAATTTCAGCACAAAGCCTCTAGCAGGATCTGCTGAGTCTTTTAAAGTCACCAAGCCATGGGGTAAATCTGAGAGGATGGTAACAGATGATACTATTGAGTCCCTGCCAGATTTCCAATCGCTGTTTCAGCACGAGAATATGCTAGAATTCCTCAGTACATTTGCTAACCTGATTGCTAGAGAATTCACCTGGAAACAATGAGCAGTGATGGAAAATTTCAGCCTAAGCAGTTGAAACATGGAAAGTTAAGCATCTGAAGACAATGGCTTATATTAGAAAATGTTAGCTGTAACCATAGAGACTGCTACGGGCTTCACTTTTATTAACACATTCTCTCCTCACTGTAAGAACACGTGTGATAATGCCTATAGATGAGCTTATCAAACCAGATATGCAGTCTCACTTTTATCAAATATTTGAGTGTCCTCTTAGTGACAGGGATGATCCCAGCTCACATTTTGTCTGGGAACTTGTCTTTATAATTGCAGCTAATTAATATGTGCTATTCGTTGTTGCTGCCTTATCAGACCTTTTGAGTTTTTGAACAATACTACAGAGATAGTAATAAATAAACCTTTTAATTTCTCACAGTGACTGTATATGTAATATTGCATCTATCAACAGCAAACAGGTGTTTATCTCACTCCTATTAGTCAACTTGGTATCAGGGCAACTGCCACACTTTTCCAAAAAGAAATATGACTGAGACACAGCAAGGGTGTTGTTCTGCAATGCAGCAGGATTAAGAAGGGATTTTGCCTCATTTTTCTCACAAACAGAAGTTTCTATGACAAGAGAATGATGAAATGGTTTGAGTTGGAAAGAATTAGATTGTGTAAACCTGACCTACAAACTGAGGCAGCAAAGAGCACTAACGAACGAGTTTGGATCGATAAATGTCTCAGCCCAAACTTGAAAGAGTAATATACAGCAAATCTGCCCAGATCTTAATTGCCATTTCAACTCTTGAGGGTACTCACTGCTGGTATCTACGCACAAGGGCAGTGCTGTAGTAGTGACTGCAGTTCAAGGCTGTGGTGTGGCTTTGTCCTCTAATTCCTTGGGTGAACAAGTGGCTGAAGGGTCGGGCTCAAAGAGCTGTAGTCAGTGGGGTTACATCAGGCTGGTGTCCAGTCACTAGTGGTGCTCCCCAGGACTCAGTTTTAGGGCCAGTGCTCTTCAATGTTTTTATCAATGACGTGGACATATGAGTTGAGGGCAGGCTAAGAGTTTGCTGATGATAGTAAATTAAGAGGGGACATTGACTTCCACGAGAGTAAAGAGACCTTAGGGAGACATCTTGGTAGGTTTGAGTGCTGGGAAATCACCAACCGTATGAAATTTAACACAGGCAAATGCTGGATTCTGCACCTGGGATAGTGTAATCCTGGATGTACATATAGAATGGGGGACGAGAGGCTGGAGTGCAACCCTGCAGAAAGGGATCTGGGGGTTCGGTTGATGGCCTCAGGGTTCAGGTGACGTCCATCAACTGTATACAGGTTTTATCTATTGGCCACCTATGAAACAATGCTTGAAGCTGGATGCTGTAGACACAAGCGTATTGTGCTTGAGAAATAACAGGAAGCTGAAGAGATACACATGTCTCTATGGGAGGTTCCAGGTTAACATGTCCAGAAGGCAAGTGAGGGGATACTGCTAGAGGCAGCCTTGTGCACATTCAGACTGACAGAAGGGCTCTGGGAGTTGAGGGTGGAGGCCATGGGTGCCCAGTTGGTGTTCCTTATCCTGCTGGTGAAGCAGAAAGGCACAGGAGGAAGGAACACCTGACTGTGTGGCTGGTGTCACAGGGAGTGATTTGGCTTCTCTAACCACAGGGCCTTCTGTGAGGAACACGGACTGCTGGGAGGAATGGGATCCATCTGGTCAAATGGACAAGAGTGGTTTTACCAACAGGATAACCTTGCAAGGAGATCTTCAAACCTGATAAGCTGCAGAAGGCTTTTCATAATTTGAAGAGTTGTAAGGGCATGGGGCACAGTGAGGAAGTGTCGGGGGCTGAAGCACATGATGTACAAGGTAAGGCAGAGAGAGCTTCACCTTCTCATCCTGTAGAAGAGAACACGAAGGTCTTGCTGTCTACAGCTACCTAATGGAAGGATATAGAGGACAGAGCCAGACTCTTAGAGCTAAACAGGGGTAGGATAAGACAAAATTTGCAATATCAGAAATTCCAGACTGAGTTGAGCAGAAAGGTGGTCAAACATTGGAAGAGGGGCCCAGTGAGGCTGTGGGACCTCTGTCCTTGGACACATTCAAATCTCCACTGGACGTGGCCCTGAGCAGCTGGATCTAATGGACATGCTTTCAGCAGAGGCTTGGACCAATGGCTCCAGAGGCCCCTTCCACCCTAAATCATTCTATGATTTTTTAATTGCACAGTTGCGAGGTCTAATGTGCTGGGGGAGCAGCTGGAGGGAGAAAGTTAGCTGGGGTAGGGATAACTGGAGTAGAAACAGAGTTGAACTATGGCTCTGATGAACAGCTCAATGAGACATGAGTTTTGCTGTCCTGTGAAACCTTTTTCCAATGAGACACAAAGACTGGGTGAGTTCCCCATGGAAGGCATAGGCAATTCTTTCTTCTTTTTTGAGCCCTGTTCCTATCTTGAAAGGAACTCTATGTCTAACTCATGTCTTATTTCATGGTGTACACTGAATATCTGCTCTGTGCCTTTTTGAAATGCATTTAATGTGGGGGAAGGTAGATCACACATGCAGTGTTTGCGAAGTTCTGAGTATGTCCTGTCCTGCCTGCTTTGATTTTGAATTTCATCTGAAATAATAACATCCACAAAATGCAAGCTATATCTGGAATGCAAGCATCTTCCTGTGGCTGCCAGAAGCAGAACAGTTGACTCAGGTTATTAAATCAGGAGACAGTGTCTTTCTGTTCTGTGCTGACAGTGAAGTGATCTCCCACTGCTCTTCTCTCAACATGAGATTCATGAGGCAGTCACTTGGCATCACTTACTTCCACTTACAATCTCTTACAGCCTCCTTCCTGCAAAGCAGAGAGCTCCTTCTCTTCAGGAGACCTCAGTCATTCCAGGTGACAGGGAAGAAGCTCTCCAGAGGATTTTT